GATCATCAAATTTTGTCAGTTGATGCATCTTTGGTCTTCAGAAAATGTCAACCAAAAAGTAGGTCACTGTGACCTACTTTCGACATTTTATGGCTAGATTTAAGTATCTCGGGTACTAATTGGCTTAGAATCATCAAAATTTGTCAGTTGATGCATCTTGGGTTTTTGGAGATTAACGATTAAAAAGTAGGTCACGATGACCTACTTTTGACATTTTATGGCTATATTTAAATATCTCAGGTACTTATTGGCTTAGAATCATCAAACTTTGTCAGTAGATGCATCTTGGGTTTTCAGAGAATTCCAACCAAAAAGTAGGTCACAGTGACCTACTTTTGACATTTTATGGATAGTTTTATATATCTCAGGTACTATTTGGTTTAGAATCATCAAACTTTGTTATTTGATGCATCTTAGGTTTTCAGAGCATGTTGTCCAAAAAGTAGGTCATGGTGACCTACTTTTGAATATCTAAGTTACCGATTGGCTTAGAATCATCAAACTTTGTCAGTAGATGCATCTTGGGTTTTCGGAGAATGTCGACCAAAAAGTAGGTCAAGGTGACCTATTTTTGACATTTTATGGCTATATTTAGGTATTTCGGATACTTATTGGTTTAGAATCATCAAACTTTGTTATTTGATGCATTTTGGGTTCTCAGAGAATGATGATCAAAAAATAGGTCACGGTGACCTTCTTGTGACATTAATGGCTATATTTAAGTATTCTAGAGTACTTATTGGCTTAGAATTGTCGAACTTTATCAGTTGATGCGCCTTGTGTTTTCTGAGTATGTTGACCAATAAGTAGGTCACTGTGACCCACTTTTGAATATCTCAAGTACTTATTGGCATAGAATCATCAAACTTTGTCAATTAATGCATCATGTGTCCTCAGAAAATTTCAATCAAAAATAGGTCACCATGACCTACTTATAGTATTTTATTGTTACATTTAAATATCTTCAGCCCTAACTGGCTAAGAATCATCAAACTTTGTCAGTTGTTGCATCTTAGGTCTTAGGATAGATTGTATAATTTATCAGAAGAGCGATTCAAGGCCCTTGGGCCTCTTGTTGTGTAACACTATCATTTTCGGACAATATTTCAAGAAGATTTCGAGCTTTTGCAATGAACATATTTTTATACCAACAAGCTAATTCAGAGAATTCGTGTCCCCCACTTAGGGAAAAAGTTGGATCCCCCTGACTGAATTTGTAGAATTATTAAATGTATACATGTATATTTAAGCAAATAAAATACATGTATGTCAATATGCATATAAGGATTTGATTGCTTATTCTTTATTATGTGTATAGAAGAATATTTTAATATGGAATATTTATCACACTGTAATGATGATTTTATAACCTCATAAATTTTTCATTTCACTTGCTGAATACTATCATTTAGTAAAAAAAAAAAAAAAGAAAAGTATTTTAAAAAAAAAAAGAAAAAAAAAGGATCAACCGAGATTCAATCCCGGGACCTCTCACATGTGAATCGAGAGACATACCACTAGACCATGGAATCGCTTCATATAGAATCAAGTCTATGCAGAACTAAAGTCACATACATGTATGTATTCATGTTCGGTATTCTCAAAATTTTACACAATCCATGGTGTTTGATTTATTTAGCCTTTATTAAACTTAACAGTTCTAATAGATGTAATAAGAACATAAAGTCCGATGAGAACCTGTTTTATATGCAATAACTCTCCTCATGCACCTGTGCTAAAAATACGACATGTAATACTATAAATACTAATAAAACAAATGGGGCGGGGCACTTTGAGAGGGGTGAGAGAGGTCCTAGGGAGTTTTGGTATAAAATTACATTGCATAAGCTCAAAATCTTCTTGAAATATCGCCCAGAAATGATAGTATTACACACAGACAGAATGTATAAATTTACAACCTTGAACTTTGACCTTTTGACCTCAAAATCAATAGGGGTCTTCATTAGGCCACAGGGAGTTGTTATGTAAAACTTAATTTCAAAAGCTCAACGGATTCTCGAGATATCGCGCGGAAAGGAAAGTGTTATAACAGACAGAATTTGCTTATTTATGACCTTGACCTTTGACCTTTTGACCTCAAAATCAACAGGGGTCTTTTGTAGTCCATAGGAATTTGCTGTGCTAAATTTCATTGCAAAAGCTTAAAGGGTTCTCGAGATATCGTGTGGAAATGAAAGCATTACAGACAGACAGAAAGACGGACGGACGGACAAACCCAAATTAATATCCCGCACTTTTCAAGCGGGGGACAAAAATATTTTCATACCAAAAATTCCCAGTGCCTGTCTCTCCCCTCTCAAACTGAAAGTGTCCCGCCCCGTTTTTTGTTCCCCACTTGAAAAGTGGGGGATATTAATTTGGGTCTGTCTGTCCGTCCGTCCGTCCAGCTGTCCGTCTTTCTGTCTGTCTGTAACGCTTTTGTTTCCACACGATATCTCGAGAACCCTTTGAGCTTTCGCAATTAAATTTGGCATAGCATCTCCCTATGGATGAAAAAAGAACCATATAGATTTTGAGGTCAAAAGGTCAAAGGTCAAGGTCATAAATTTGCAAATTCTGTTTGTTATATTATAACACTTTCGTTTCCGCGCGATATCTTAAGAACCGTTTGAGCTTTTGCAATGAAATTTTACATCAACTCCCTGTGGTCTTAGGAAGACCCATATTGATTTTGAGGTCAAAAGGTCAAAGTTCAAGGTCGTAAATTTATACATTCTGTCTGTATGAAACACCATCATTTCCGGGCGATATTTCAAGAAGATTTTGAGCTTTTGCAATGTAATTTTAAACCAAAACTCCCTAAGACCTCTTTCACCCCTCTCAAAGTGTCCCGACCCGTTTGTTTTATTAGTATTTGTTGTATTACATGTCGCTATTTTTAGCACAGGGGCATGAGGAGAGTTATTACGTATAAAACAGGTTCTCGGTGGACTTTATATTCTTATTACATCTATTAGAACTGTTTAATAAAGGTTAAATTAGATATCATGCATTGTGTAAAATTTTGACAACATCAAACGTGAATATATACATGTATGTGACTTCATCTTTCCATATAATTTTCGCAAGTTTAAAGCGGCTCCATGGTCTAGTGGTATGTCTCCCGCTTCACATGTGAGAGGGCCCGGGTTCGCATCTTGGGCAATCAATTTTTTTTTTCGAAGTACTTTTTTTGTCCCCCGCTTGAAAAGTGGGGGATATTAATTTGGGTCCGTCCGTCCGTCCGTCTTTCTGTCTCGTAACGCTTTCGTTTCCACACGATATCTCGAGAACCCTTTGAGCTTTTGCAATGAAATTTTGCATAGCAACTCCCTATCGACTAAAGAAGACCCCTATTGATTTTGAGGGCAAAAGGTCAAAGGTCAAGGTCATAAATTCGCAAATTCTCTCTGTTATAACACTTTCCTTTCCGCGCGATATCTCGAAAACCCGTTTAGCTTTTGCAATGAAATTTTACATAACAACTCCCTGTGGCCTAATGAAGACCCCTATTGATTTTGAGGTCAAAAGGTCAAAGTTCAAGGTCGTAAATTTATACATTCTGTCTGTATGAAACACTATCATTTCCGGGCGATATTTCAAGAGGATTTTGAGCTTATGCAATGTAATTTTATATCAAAACTCCCTAGGACCTCTCTCACCCCTCTCAAAGTGTCCCGCCCTGTTTGTTTTATTAGTATTTATTGTATTACATGTCGCTATTTTTAGCACAGGGGCATGAGGAGAGTCATTACGTATTAAACAGGTTCTTGGTGGACTTAATATTTTTATTACATATATTAGAACTGTTTTATAAACTTTAATAAGACACCATGCATTGTGTAAGATTCTGACAATATCGAACGTTAATATGTACATCTATGTGACTTCATATTTGCATATCATTCTCGCTAGATTAAAGAGGCTCCGTGGTCTAGTGGTATGTCTCTCTCTTCATTTGTAAGAGGCATCAGGTTCGCATCCCGAACGATCCATTTTTTTTAAAAATACATTTTTTTTACTAAATGATAGTATTATGCATGTGAAAAGAAAAATTTATTAGGTCTGGCTTGTACAAACTCATAAAATCATCATTACAGTGTGATAAATATTCCATATAAAAAGAATCTTCTATACACATAATAAAGAATAAGCAATCAAACCTTTATATCCATATTGGCATATTTTATTTGCTTCAGTATACATGTATACATGTATACATTTAATAATTCTACAAATTCAGTCAAGGGGATCCGCCACCCCCCCCCCTTCCCGAACTGCGTATGGTTTACTTTTTCCCTAAGCGGGGGACACAAATTCTCTGAATTAGCTTGTTATTACTTGTTTTAAGTCTACAGTAAATGATACTTTAGGGATTTAATAATTATCTTAGTGTTAATTAAGATATTCAACTGATTTTCTAACTGTAAGTTGGCGATCTTTTATATCAAATTGCTAAACAAATAGCACATCTCTTCCACAGCTTGCTTTCACTGGGCAACAGAACAAATATCAATTTTAAACATTTCCCTTTCCTTCACTAAAACAATCAATCCAATTCATGACAAAACATCTGGCAAGCCTTTTGTCTACATAAACTCCATACAAATTATTAAATACTTCTACACAGTCAATCATTTTTTGTCACAAGTGTTCTTCATATTGACATCATCTGCACATTGTGACATCACAAACATGGGGCAAAACATTTCTGAATCATTACATATGCTATTAATAGAACATGTGTATGACTTTATGTGTGCCAAATTTCATTCCGATCTGAATTATGGTTTTGTAAATATTGAACTAGTTCGCGAACTTTTTGATCACCCCTCGTATCTTAGGCTCTGCCTATCTTGGGGTTTATATTCTAGATTTTGCTTTTATTTGGGATTATGTTTTAGACTCTGCTTGTGTCAAGTTATAAACTTGAGTGGCTGTTAATGTTGAGGTCTACTGGTATGTTTTAGGCTCTGCTCATGTTGAGGTTTACATTTTAGGTTGCTGAAGGAGTTGTCAGTAAATTGAAATCTTGTGAAGCCTCAGATTTCCAAATGCAAGTTGATAAACTGACTGAAGAAGCAAAACTTTTCTGGTCCAGAGGAGAACAAAACATTGCCAAACACTTAACAAAGAAGATATTGAAGATGTTAGAGCAAGTAAGGTTTACTTTCTCATGTGTGAGGATGACAGTTTAATGTTATATGAAAATGAAGGCTTGGGTAATTATTATTGCTATATGATCCAACTCATGTTGATATAAACTTTAAAACATTACAGCTTTTATGAAATTGTTTCCCTCATATTTTTTCAAAACCCCAACTCCGTTTGCTCCAAAAACTCCCCAGCATGAAATTTGGATATATGGATGTTTCACAGTAACTGTAGGCATTTTGAATCATCATTTTCAGCTTTTCTTCTCCATGCAAACTCAACCTATTTTTCCTGTCATTGTAAAGTAAGATTTGAACAAACTTTCATCTGAAAACACATCACTTTCCCAATCTTTCTTCATCATGTGTTTGTGATGTCTTGTCATTTGCAAACATCTTTGTTTCTGTTCTTTCTAAATTTATGGCTTTTTAGCAGGAATGTAGCTCTCAATTTCATACTTGTTTAACTTTTTAGGTCACCTAAGTGACCTATTACTATTCATTTTCATCCATCACCGTGCATTGTGCATTAACGTTTGAACATTTTCAGCTTCTTCTCTGAAACAGCTGGACCAATTTCAACCAATTTTGGCATTATAGCATCTATGGGTGAAGGGAAACAAAAATTGTGAATTTCATGGTCCCTGCTCCCCTGGGGGTGGGGCCAAAACCACTAAAATTAGTGCAATCTTTAAAAATCTCCTTCTTTACTCCTGGACATCAAGCAGTCAAACTGGCTCTTCCAAATTGTGAATCTCATGGGCCCAGGGTCATGGGATCTAGTGCTAGGGAAGGGCTATATAGATTATATAGTGAAAATGCATAAATTCTCTGAAATTCTTCTTCTCTGTTCATGGGCATTAAATAAGCTAACCAAGTGCATAATATGTATGTTGAATAAGTCTGCCTCTTCCAAAGTTGTGAATTTCATGGCCCCAGGGTCAGGGGTTCTAGTGCTAGGGCGGGGCTATAAAGATTATATAGTGAAAATGAATTATTTCTTTGAAAATTTTTTTTTCTGCTCATGGGCATTAATAAATTAACCAAGTGCATATGTATGTTGAATAAGGCTGCCTCTTCCAAAATTGTGAATTTCATGGGCCCAGGGTCAGGGGTTCTAGTGCTAGGGCGGGGCTATAAAGATTACATGGTGAAAATGAATTATTTCTTTGAAAATCTTCTTTTCTATGTACATAGTTATGAGGAGGAAGGATGCCTCCTTGAGATTTATGAATTTCAGGGTCCCTGGGTAGGGCTTCTTGTGTTAGGGTGGGGCTCTAATGTTTATATAATGAAAATGCATGAATTCTTTGAAAATCTTTTCCTTTGCTCCTGGGTATTATGCCAATCATCTAAGTACATATTATGATGAAGAAAGCTGCCTTTTCCAAAATGGTTAATTTCTGGGCCCCTGGGTCAGAGGTATATGGAGGGGGGTACATAGTCTGAAAATATATTAATGCTTTGAAATTTGGTATTAATCAACAATTTATGATGAAATAAAATTCATGATATTAAAATTTCCAAAATTTTGAAATATATAAGCCCAGGGTCTGTGGTTCCTGTGGGATAGAGTGCACAACTGGTTACAAAGTGGAAATGCATTAATTTGTTTTCTCTTTCTTACTCTTAAATTCTTCTTGGTATTTAGTAACCAAAGTAAGCATTCTAAGTGTATATTTATGATAAGCAATGGTGCCTGTAAACGATAAATTGTGAATTTCATGGCCTCAGGTTTAAAACATGAATCAAATAAAATTGTTGTAAAGTTTTTATGGGATACTAACACAGGTGACCTATAAGGCTCATGGGCCTCTTGTTCTTTCTTAGTCATTTCACTTAAGGATATCCTGGTTACAATCTTTGTTTTCAGCTCTCTTATTGTAAATCTCCTATCTTGCAACGCTAGGTTCTTTATCACTCTTTCTTGTCTGTGGGTGACTTTGCTTTTTCTCCCTTGTCTAGGCAAGTCATGCAATGTGCCATGTAACTTATACCGTCACATGAGGCCGTAGTGTGAGATGGAGATGCAGTATCTCTCTGTTACCTATTGTTCTACTTCTTTCCACGTTAATTTTGCATTTCTCAAAGTAATGATCTGAAGTCTAGCATCAAGAGAGATTTGTCTTACTCAAAGTAACAAAGTCCAAAAATGTAGGAAAAAATCTTTTCAATAGTAACAATAACATGTTTTTTTTTTAAAAAGAAATAATAAATAATCTTACCTTTTTGCATGGTTTCCATGTGCAGCTTATCCTTTTTTGTCACTAGATCCCAATGAAACCGAGAGGAAAATGATATATAATCAAAGTTCATTGAAAAATATTAATGTTTAAGAATTGAATTAAATATTACATACATAGCACATACTACTGCAAAAACTATAGTAAATGAATTTTTAAAATGATATTGAAGAATCATTATAATTTTTGCATCATTTTTTTGCTCACCTGAGCCGAAGGCTCAAGTGAGCTTTTCTGATCACATTTCGTCCGGCGTCCGTCTGTCTGTCTGTCTGTAAACTTTTCACATTTTCGACTTCTTCTCAAGAATCGCTGGGCCAATTTCAACCAAACTTGCCACAAAGTATCCTTGGGTGAAGGGGATTAAAGTTTGTTCAAATGAAGGGCCACGCCCTCATTCAAGGGGAGATAATTGGGAATTAATGAAAATTTGGTGGCATATTTTAAAAATCTTCTTCTCCAGAACCACTGTGCCAGGAAAGATGAAACTTAGGGGGAAACATCCTCAGGTAGTGTAGATTCAATTTTGTTCAAATCATGACCCCTGGGGGTAGGGCGGGGCCAAAATGGCCGACCAAAGTTTTACATAGAAGTATATAGGAAAATTCTTTAAAAATCTTCCCAAGAATGACAAAGCCATAATTCATCATATTTATATGGAAGCATGTTCAGGTAGTGTAGATTCAAGTTTGTTCAAATCATGACCCCCGGGGGTAGGGAGGGGCCAAAATGTCGGACCAAAGTTTTACATAAAAATATATAGGAAAATTCTTTAAAAATCTTCTCAAGAATGACAAAGCCATAATTGATCGTAAGGGCGAAACGATTACACGTGTAAACGGTGACGTTTCGATTAAATGCTCTAAACGTTTACAAATTGAGTAAACGTTTACACGAAGGTTAATATAAATGTCTATCAGACAAAATACTTTCATTCAAACCAGTTGTTTTATTTTATATTTACCAAAGAAGACACACCCCGTGTCTGTTACAAACATTTTTTTCTGTAATAATCGATACCGGAAACACAATATTAAACAAAACTATCTAGAAATTAATATGGTCTAACATATTTAATTCCGATTTCCGAGTAGTGAAAATTAGCGATGTATTATTTTATTTTTCCCAGTATATGTTCTAAAATATATAACCACTGTTGTTGCTTTTTATTGATAAAAAAATAAAAAGTATCATGCTCATAACTGTACAATGTTGAATATAGAGCTTTGAAAAAATGAACGTAAACCGGAATCCTCAATGTTATCGTATTATATTTTTATATTACTATCTCATTTCAGTTTTTGACACTTCCTACTCTTTTGGCATAAAAACCAACAAATAAACAGTAATGACAACTCATACTTACATTATAGTGAAAGAATGGTTTATTAAATTAGTGTTTCATGAGTAAGAAGCCATAAAAATTCAACACAAAAAATCCTCCCGTTTAAACGGTACCGTTTCGTTTATTGCTGTTCGTTTAAACGTTTACAAAATTCAGTAAACGTTTCACCCTTAATTGATCATATTTATATGGAAACATGTTCAGGTAGTGTAGATTCAAGTTTGTTCAAATCATGACCCCCGGGGATAGGGCGGGGCCAAAATGGCCGACCAAAGTTTTACATAAAAATATATAGGAAAATTCTTTAAAAATCTTCTTCCCAAGAATGACAAAGCCATAATTCATTATATTTATATGGAAGCATGCTCAGGTAGTGTAGATTCAAGTTTGTTCAAATCATGACCCCCGGGGGTAGGGCGGGGCCAAAATGGCCGACCAAAGTTTTACATAGAAATATATAGGAAAATTCTTTAAAAATCTTCTTCTCAAGAATGACAAAGCCATAATTCATCATATTTATATGGAAGCATGTTCAGGTAGTGTAGATTCAAGTTTGTTCAAATCATGACCCCCGGGGATAGGGCGGGGCCAAAATGGCCGACCAAATTTTTACATAGAAATATATAGGAAAATTCTTTAAAAATCTTCTTCCCAAGAATGACAAAGCCATAATTCATCATATTTATATGGAAGCATGCTCAGGTAGTGTAGATTCAAGTTTGTTCAAATCATGACCCCCGGGGGTAGGGTGGGGCCAAAATGGCTGACCAAACTTTTACATAAAAATATATAGGAAAATTCTTTAAAAATCTTCTCAAGAATGACAAAGCCATAATTGATCATATTTATATGGAAACATGTTCAGGTAGTGTAGATTCAAATTTGTTCAAATCATGACCCTCGGAGGTAGAACGGGGCTAAAATGGCCGACCAAAGTTTTACATAGAAGTATATAGGAAAATTCTATAAACATCTTCTTCTCAAGAATGACAAAGCCATAATTCATCATATTTATATGGGAGCATGCTTAGGTAGTGTAGATTCAAGTTTGTTCAAATCATGACCCCCGGGGATAGGGCGGGGCCAAAATGGCCGACCAAAGTTTTACATAGAAATATATAGGAAAATTCTTTAAAAATCTTCTTCCCAAGAATGACAAAGCCATAATTCATCATATTTATATGGAAGCATGCTCAGGTAGTGTAGATTCAAGTTTGTTCAAATCATGACCCCCGGGGGTAGGGCGGGGCCAAAATGGCCGACCAAAGTTTTACATAGAAATATATAGGAAAATTCTTTAAAAATCTTCTTCTCAAGAATGACAAAGCCATAATTCATCATATTTATATGGAAGCATGTTCAGGTAGTGTAGATTCAAATTTGTTCAAATCATGACCCCCTGGGGTAGGGCGAGGCCAAAATGGCTGACCAAACTTTTACATAAAAATAAAAAGGAAAATTCTTTAAAAATCTTCTCAAGAATGACAAAGACATAATTGATCATATTTATATGGAAACATGTTCAGGTAGTGTAGATTCAAGTTTGTTCAAATCATGACCACCGGGGGTAGAACGTAGAACGGGGCTAAAATGGCCGACCAAAGTTTTACATAGAAGTACGTAGGAAAATTCTTTAAAAATCTTCTTCTCAAGAATGACAAAGCCATAATTAATCATATTTATATGGAAGCATGCTCAGGTAGTGTAGATTCAAGTTTGTTCAAATCATGACCCCCGGGGGTAGGGTGGGGCCAAAATGGCTGACCAAAGTTTTACATAAAAATATACAGGAAAATTCTTTAAACATCTTCTTCTCAAGAATGACAAAGCCATAATTGATCATATTTATATGGAAACATGTTCAGGTAGTGTAGATTCAAATTTGTTCAAATCATGACCCCCAGGGGTAGGGCGGGGCCAAAATGGCCGACCAAATTTTTTAAAGATATATATAGGAAAATTCTTTAAAAATCATTTTCTAAAAAATAGCAAATCCATGATTGGTCATGGGACTACTTTTGGATTTAAACTTTACAATAAAAAGCCATTTTCTACTTTTTCCTACCCTTAGTGCTCAGGTGAGTGATGTGGCCCATAGGCCTCTTGTTTTTTTGCTTAAAATCTTTTAAGAGAGTCTTTTAAAAAAATCATTCAGTTTTTTAAGGGGTGTGTTACCTTGACAAAGGATATCAAGTACAGTTTATGTGCATTACCTTGTTCTTTTGCTATTATGCTATAAAATATTTTTGGAAACATATGACCTTTATTTGTGTGTAAAACCATGTGAGTTTAAAAAGTATGCAGAGCTGTATACTTTACAGCAATCTATAACAGTAACAAAATTTAATGTAATGTATGTTATAAGAGAAATTCCATCTCTCCCATAGGTATAATTATAAAGCGCTGGTCAAGAAGAATTTTGATAACAGAAAATTGCTTGTCAAATCAGAGAGAACTTAATGAGTTTAGTGTGAGGAGCTAACTGGTAGAGCATCTCTGATCAAGCAGGTGTTATCTATATCCCTTTGGAATTGGGCAAATGGGTGTCAGCCTGTTGAATTAAAGATAGTTCTTGTTGGCTAGCCCAAGTTTTAAAATGAATTTGATGAAGAGTAATTAAAACTAATTTGATATTGCATAGTAAACTAATCTGATATTATATATAATATTTTTAAAACTCATTTTAGTTGAGTGGGGTTGGAATTAGCATGTCCATTTGTCCATATGAATTGCAGATTAAAACCTGTCTGACATTAAATCTAAAAAAAATTATGATGCAGTATTTAAAAAAAAAATGTTTTATGGTAGATAGTTCTGATCCATTCATCCCTTGGGAGTAATGAGTGGACAAGCATCCAGTTAAAGATTAATGAGTTCAATGTAAGAAGGCTAGCTGTCTCAGTCATTTCTGTAAAGCATCTCTGATCAAGCAGCTCTTATCTGTTTCCTTCGGGAATAAGACAGGAGAACTGCTAGTCAGTTTATAGCATATGTCATTTGATGGCCAGCCTTGTAGTTTCAAAATTAAAGTTGAACAAGACTCGTAAATAGGCATACGCCATTTTCGATAGCATAATCTACGATACATCAATACTAGGGTATACTCGTCGCATTTGTTACACCTGACTGCTTTATTGTCACGGGTATCGGTGTGAAATGGCGACCCGTGTTCGTGCTGGTTATCTTGCATTACCTTTGTTTATATTATTTTGCAGTTACGTGTTTGTATACTGCACTGACTTATACAACTATAATTGTAAACTTATTTGGTATCTTATTTTCCTGCATTAGACCAAATATTACATTATTATTCTTGCTACTGAGTGCTGTATAGCATACGTCCGTCTTCTTCGGTTTCGACTGATTACACTGAACAGTGTCTAAGTTTTGCCCTATATATAGGGGTCTGCAGAGTAGCGAGACTCGGGAACAAAAATGGTGGACAAATTCCTTTTACGAATCCTGTTCAGCTTTAACTTGGTATAGATTAAGTTGTTTTAAAAAGACTAATTTGATATTGCTTAATATGATGGGGATACGACAAGGTCTAACACATTTATGATGTAACATTTTTTATAATTAATGCCTTCACCACAGGGGTGTAAACATCAAATACTTTAAGGAATGGGAAAATCATGGAATCAAGATTGACATTATTTTCTTGCACTTTAAACTGTTCATGATGATAGAAATTATTTGACAGGCGTATCATGCAGTGATGGGGCACTTTATTTTTTTTATTTCAATAAGAAACAAGAAAGCAACTTGGAAGCAGCAAAGCTGTACCCTAGAGTCCTCAGTATGTATGGAAACTGGGCAGCAGAAACTAATTTAGAAGATCCCAACACCATTATGGAAGAGTATCTTGAAAAGGTAAGATATTGTCACGTTATGATGTACAAGGTTATTTTCAAATTTATGGAAGAAATGAGGCAAAGAATACTTAAATTGTAGTAAGCTTTTTTGTCCCGTGAATTCAGAAATTATCTATGCTTTGAGAATGAGGACTTTGGAATGATGACAAAATGATATTCCTTCAGACAGTGAGTTTGTTAGAGAGCTTGGAGGAGAAAGGGGATACAATTCTAGATGCGTATCTTTCTCTGGCTCGGTTTGCTGATGGTCAGTATCAACACATTGTGAACTACATGAAGTCAAGTACATTTGAAGCCAAGCAGAACTTGATGACAAAGGCAAAAAAGGAAATAACAAGGATGCAACAGCTTGGAATGGACAATCTTGAGAAAGAGTAAATATCTAACTTAAGCTGTAGTGATGTGTCCATTCACCCCTACTGTCTGTAATATATGGAAATCACCTTATCTGTCTGTCTGTCTGAAATCTTGTCTGGGATATAACTGCTATGGAAAAACACTGGAAGTTCCTACCATAATTATTTTAATGATAGGTCGACACTTTTTTTCTCCAACCCATTGGGGTCAACCTGTTTAACAAATCAGCCTTTGTAAGGCTCAAGATCAAGGTTACAAAATAAAGCCCCCAAATCATTAAAATTAATTTTAAAACAAATCTGTGCCATTTTCTGAACTTTTCAAATTATTTTACCGAGAATTGATAAGAAACAGTAAAGAATTTAGAGGCAGTCCACTAAAAAAACAGGCATTATTGTATTAATAGGCAGCACATCGAATCTGGCAAATATTTGATATTTTATTGAAAAAAATATCAGCGCATGTAATCCAATTGGAATAATGTAATTGAAGATTTGTTTGAAAATGACCTAAACCACCTTCTTCATTCAAGGTCAAATTAAGAAAAACAAGACCAGACCATAACTTAAGATCCTTCTGACTAAATGACTTGAAAGATGCACTGCATTGTTACAGACCCTGAGACGTGCTACTACCCAAAAAAAGCGTGTAACTTTCATGCGCTTTCCATTTCGTGCAAACCGTGTAGCGTTTCGTGCGAGCGTTTTGTGCAAGTCGTGTAGCAAGCGTGTGAGAAACGTGCGACTTTCGTGTAAGAATCATGTAAGAAATGTGTAAGATTCATTCGGAAGTAGATGTCATGATGTCAAATTGTGTTATTATTTTATTAGTTATACTTGTGGTATTTTAGGAGTTAAAAATGGGAATAAGTAAATGAAATTACACGGTAATGTTAGGGGTGGGAGGATACACAGATCTTGTGATACGATACGTATCTCGATACAGTAGCACGATATGATGCATATCTCGATATTATGCTAAATTATTTTTTTTTTTTTTTGTCTTGACATTAAATCATCAAATTATTCTATATCAAGTCATGTGTGCTTTTGAAATTAATACTTGAAGTTCATCAATTTCATTAACTAAAACTTTACAAAAACAATAATACATGTACATATTATTATTACCAAATTACTATTAAGAAGTTGTTTATTTACAAATAGCTGTGTAATTCATTAGAGAACTTAGAACTTAGATGCTACATTAGATTCACTTAAAGGTACTTGGACACAGATTTGAAATTATTATTTTCTCTATAATGTTACGAGTTATATATTTTAATAGCATTTCACACAAAAATTAATTAAAAATCTTATATCAAATAAAAGATATTAAAATTTCAAATTTTTTGGCGGGTTTGATTGACACATCCTTGCACTTTCACAAATTAATTTTATTCTTAATCCTTAGGAAAAAGTGGCAATCTTGTTGTGTATAAATGATAAATATTAATACTGTAATGCAGTAAATTCAGAGTAGACATGTTCGAAAGCAAAACAAACACACAATATACTCTCAGTCCGTGCAGTTGTGGTAAGCAGACTGTGACGATATAGAACGCACCCGGTGAATTGTACACATGAACAAAAACATAACTCGTGCCCTGTTTACAAAAACTGTGTACATAACACGAGTGTGCTCGATTTGCTAAATCCTGTACGCAACTCTTAGTTCGGAATGACGATACTTGTGAAGGAGTTTTCTTTCTAACATCTCTACTCTGAATAAAATTATTTTTCTGGATAAAAGTTTAAATATCTCTCATTAATACACATGCCACTTTTCCTAAGGATTAATATTAAGGTTAAAATTTGTGAAAGTGCAAGCATGTGTCAATCAAACCCGCCAAAACATTTAAAGTTTTAATAACTTTTAAATGGAATAAGATTTTTAATTAATTTTTGTGTGAAATGCTATTAAAATATATAAGTCGTAATATTATAGAGAAAATATTGACTTCAAATCTGTGTCCAAGTACCTTTAAAAAGCATCACATTTACATTATTATTAATTGCTGAAGTCTGTAGCAAAGTTGAGATTACAAAAAAAAAGTACGAGATGGACTAACAATTAATAATACCAAATGTTCTGGAAACGATACTTTCTGTGTATAGCACACATTACATACTGAACTTTTCTTGTCTAATCTTCCGAGGCTGCTTAAAAGTGAAAACGTTTTACCCCTAACCAACGACTTATTAGTTCTAAAGCGTGTTTTCAATAATCAACATCATCTCTTCGCTTCGTACAAGCCGCCATTTTCCGAGGACAGGTACTTTCATTTTCAATTTGGATGGGTCGTTCGTGTATCATTTCGTACAGATATTTGCATGCTTGTATCGAAAACCTAAATATAATTATTTTGGTCACATACCTAAATGTCACTAAACCTAACCATATATAGTACAAAAAAACTTTTTTTGCTTTATTTTTCCAAATATCAATAAAATGTGTATCTAGAGGAAAATATCGGTATGTATCGGTGTATCGGTATATAATCGTCCCACCCCTAGGTAATGTATAATACATTCGTTTGCGTTTTTTTCTCCTAAAGAAAATGTGTTCAAATTAATTATACATAATGTACATGTACAACAATTTCAAGGGCAATGAGTTCAATATACTATCAATGCGATTATGGTTATTAGATATCTTTTTTCTCAAAGAAAGAAATATATACCAGTATTCATACATATACACATATATTTATTTTAAGAAGAAAGATATCCGCTCTTGTCTTTACATTTAAAGTATTTGATAGAAAGTTCAGAAACGATGTGTCATTTAATACCTTTTAATACATATAATTCGTTGTTCATTATTATCAAATAAATGGATTAGAATTTTAATTCACTTGCACCGTCGAGCACAGGTTTAGATATTCCCGGGGAGTGTGTGTGTGTGTGTAGTGGGGGGGGTGTCAAAAGAAAATTATAGTACAGTCTTTCAATTTGTAGTTAACTTTAACATTAGTTTAAATAAATGTTTGATTTTTCTATATATAAATAATGTTTGACTCTTGCATTCTCTTTTAAATCTTTTGTTAATTGTGTGTGCCGCCACACCCCTTAAAAATATATTGAAATCTTCTTTCCTCCTTTTCAATTGCGATCAACGTCATTTACAAAAGCAACCACGGGCTCCGAGTACATGGAACTGAACATACCTGTTTTGCGACATGTACATGTTGCATTCCTGAAAAGTTTTGGAGATGAAATAAAGTTTGATTATTATTTAATGGGTACAACTTATGTCCATGGATTTAATCTTTTATTAGCAAATATGAATTTCTAGCCGTAAATACATGTAGTACTGATTTGCTAGTCTTCTCACGAAAATAATATTTTAAAGTTCAGAAGTAATTCATGAATCATATTGTATATTATTTGTTTTGTAAATCATTTTTATGGCTTACGAAGCCATTATAGCTCCCGGTGTATTTTTACGGCAAAGAGTTCACTGTATATTCTAGTAGACATGAGCAAGATAAAATAGTCCTCGTCTTTTCTTTAATTTTATTCTACGTTTGTTGTGAAAATTACTCACCAAGTCCTTAATCAAAAACCTTGTTATTTTCATTTAATTTTCGCCACTGAAGACAAGATAAACCAAATAAAAAAAAGCTAAATTGAATAAACTCTTGTGAGGATGCGGAAGAATATCTTCTGACCGTATGTGTCAACAGCGCCACCGTGTAGGTAAGTCAATCTAAATGAAAGAAAGAGAACTCTGTTGGGAGTACGTTATTGCGCCAGATAGTTCGTAGGAACACAGATTAAATGTATATTACCTTACAAACTGTTTAAACAGCTGCTAAAAGCAGTGATTTCCTAAGGCCGTTTTTGCCTGGCAATAACGCGATCACGATCTCCCGCCAACTCATTGTTGTGAACTCAATGCGTTACGTGGCACGGGGTATGATGCAATAGCCTAACTGCCAATTTTTGTTCATTGCAATTTAATTAATGGCATATATTACTAAATATCAAGCTTGTAGTTGATGAAAATATTAATTAATAACCATAAAATGTAACTGATGGCTGTCAGATAGTACGAAGGGTAAAAGGAATACACTTAATTGTTAATGTACATGTGGGGTTTTCCAACATTCGCAGGTCATTCTATAAATAACATAGATGCTCCGACATTAAAAAAAAAATCATCATTTAAACACATAATTTTTGCATTCATGTACTGAAAATGAAACGTGTGATTAACATTATCAATGTTTCTGAATTTACTTTATGAACTCTGGAAAGCACTTAGTTCCAACGCATGTGCTTCTAATACACTATTCAGAAGCGCTCCAAGTGACAATATCTACATGCAGTAAGCATTACATTGGTGCTACATAATGAGAACAAAAAGTTTCAAGATAACTGCAAGAGTAGATACATAAAAAAATAAGGGAGGGTCATTAGGGGCCTATTTGTAGATAGCAAAATTAGCACAATACCGTAACATAAAACAGTAAAAAGACAATGGCTTTATAGAAAATTTTAATAGAACAATTTTTCGTGATTAGATCTCTTTTATATGAAAAACTCTATTGTAGAATAATTTTAAGCAAAAACTGACAATTTGTTCAAAATCTATATATTTAGCTTTTATTTACCTTTAAAAAAGGTTATTAGTGAATTTGTATTTTTCATTTAAATATGAATTTAGAAAAAATAAACTCAACTGCCAAGAAACGCCTCAGGCCGTCAATTCAGCGACCCCCCACCCTTGCAGTAAGAAATTTCTGAGGAAACACTAAGTAATATTCTAGTATACTACATTTCCTTACATTTTACATCCATGTCAAGCACGTAAGCCATTATGGCCCTTCAGGCCTTTGATTTATTTTATCTAGGATATTTCAGTTTTCTTTCTAATATATCCGAATGTGTAACTTTAGATCTACATTGAATTAACTGAAATGATAACCTGACTAAATCTGTTCTGCACTTTTACTGACATGTAATATACATTTTGCAATAAAATGGACCCTAAAGTAATCATTTTTCGGATAAATTATATAGACAAATTTTATTATTTAATTAAAAAAAAAAACAAGAAATGTAATCTGCCTACGGAAAGCAAACGCAATTTAATCAATGACTGTTATTTAAAATCAACAAATGAGTTGTAGCTACCTGAAGTAAGAAATTAAATTTTTGTTCAATATAATACATGTAAAAATATTAATTTGCAAGAAGCGTATTGTAATGAATAACAATATATAAAAATAATAATTTATAATGCAGTGAGTAAGCCTGCGAATAAAATACGTACACTATGATATCGGCATTCTATCTCTATACACTGATTAAATAAATACAAAATTATTTATTGACAATTATTTATTAATTAATTATAACTGTCAGAGTATTGAATATTTCTATCCATTTATATATTACTGCTGTTTACTGAATTTTAATTTAAACAGCTGTTAAACTAGCTTGAGAGATTGAGATGTAATTAATATTTGAATAATAAAACCGTAATAATGTCCGAGAGATTCCGAGTAGAAAATCCAAACCGAGGCCAAAACGTGTGAGAATCATGTACAAAGCGTGTGAGAAACCTGTACAAAGCGTTTCGTGCAAAGTGTTTTGTGCAAATTGTGTAGCGTTTCGTGCAAACCATGCAGCGTTTCGTGCAAATCATGTAGCGTTCGTGTACCGTTCATGCAGCAAGCCTGTGGGGAAGTAGCACGTCTCAGGGTCTGTATTATTGACCCTGATCGTAAAATTGCACTTGTTAATGTTGGTAAAAAGAGAAGTTGGGGGAGGGGGGGTTAAAAAAATCAAAATCTACTAGCTAACACACCAAGTTGTCCACAGATACTTCTGGGTTTTTTTCCTGAACATGACAAGGAACACTTGGTGAGAGTGATCTGTCAGCAGGTGATGCTCACTCCTCCATGGCACCTGATTCCACCTCTGATGTTTTGGAGGTCCATGTTTGCTCTGCTCCTATTTTGTAATGTTTAATGGACTTTTGAGCTAAAATACTGTTTGTTTTCTCCATGTATTTCATTACATATGATTTTGCAGTTTTTATTTGGTCAAATAAAACTAAAATTCTTGCTTTTCAGTCGATATTATAGAACTTTAAGCAAACAGAGTGAGATAGATCAGTCAGAACTGAATGCTATGGAGGAGGATAGATGGAGATGCCTAAAACAGGCTGTCCAGAACTATATCAAATGTCTGAAGCATGGGGACAAACACGATATCCGCATATTCCGTCTGGTATCCCTATGGTTCAGTAATCCTACCTATGCAGACATTAGTGGTTTGATTATGGTAATGAATTTTGAGAACATATTTCACTCAGAATATGTGACATGTATAGTGTTTCGTCTCTATTAATTTGCTTCTTAAAATCCTAGATAAACATGGACAATATTAAATCTTACAAGTTTCTGAGTTTGATGTACCAACTGTGTGCTAGAATGGACACTAATCCACCTGCTGATCAATCTCCCTCTCTACAGAAAACACTGCAAAAAGTAGGTCTTTACTGAACATCAAAAGAAAGAGATTCAGTAATATATAAACATGTAACTATTAAAGACAATTTCAATCTCATCATTGGAACTCTCAAATTGTTACAACATTGGCCTCTCAATTCCAAATCATATATTTTGTTCAGTTTTAACTTTGCTGGGTGAAGATTATTTAAAAGATCTTTTGATCTTGTTTTCAAATTTGTTGCTATCGATACTTTTTATACTTCTGATTTTATTGTTTTCAGATTATTCATCACACAGCTGTTGATCATCCCCACCATACTCTGTTCTGTATTTTTGCTTTAGTCAATGCTAAAAGAGATTCAGAGCTACTAAGGAGGAATGCTGGCAGCAAAAGTAGACTGGCTAAAAATAGTCAGACCAGTGACAGTGAAAATCAGGTCTGTCAAGCATTGGCAGAGTTTACAAGGGCTGTACAATATGGAATGTGTATTGTACCACAATGAAACAATGCCTATATTGTCTATTTATCAGGTCACCTGAGTCACTCTATTGCTATCCCTTTCATCTGCCATGCATCATGTGTTAACATTTGAACATTTTCAGCTTCTTCTCTGAAACCGCTGGACATATTTCAACCAATTTTGGCATAAGCATCTTTGAGCTATATGAAGGAGTATTCAATAATCTAACAAAAATTGTGAATTTCATAGTTTCTGTACCCCTGGGGCCTGGGGTGGAGCCAAAAACCAGTAAAATTATTCCAAATCTTCTTCTTTACTCCTGGACATCAAGCAGTCAAACTGTTGGTATAATTGTAATCAGCATTGAGTCCTCTACCAAAATTATGAAATTCATGGCCCCAGGGTCAGGGGTTCTAGTGCTAGGGCAGGGCTATATAGATTATAGAGTGAAATTTACTTATTTCTTTGAAAATCTTCTCTTCTCCTGGGTATTCAATAATCTAACCAAGAACATACTGTCATAGTTATTTTGAATAAGGCTATCTCTTCCAAAATTGTGAATTTCATGGTCCCTGCCCCCCTGGGGGTTGGGCCAAACCTTGTAAAATTAATGCAATCTTTAAAAAATCTTCTTCTTTACTCCTGGACATGAAGCAGTAACTGTTGGTATGATTATAATCAGCATTTAGTCCTCAACGAAAATTATGAAATTCATGGCCCCAGGGTCAGGGGTTCTAGGGCTAGGGCAGGGCTATATAGATTATATAGTGAAAATGCATAAATTCTTTAAAATTCTTCCCCTCTGCTCATGGGCATTAAATAAACTAACCAAGTGCATTGTTATGTTTAATAAGGATGGCTCTTCCAAAATTATTAATTTCATGCCCCAGGGACAGGGGCTCTGGTGTTAGGGTGGGGCTCTGTTGATTATATAGTGGAAATGCATTGATTTTTAGCTCACCGGAGCTGAAAGCTCCAGTGAGCTTTTCTGATCACCCGTCGTCCATCTGTCTGTCTGGCTGTCCGTCCATCTGTAAACTTTTCACATTACTCAACTTCTTCTTAAGAACCACTGGGCCAATTTTAATCAAACTTGGTACAAAGCATCCTTGGGTAAAGGGAAATTTAAGTTGTTAAAGTAAAGGGCCAAGTCCCCTTCCAAGGGAAGATATTCAAGAAAATATCAAAATAGGGTGGGGTCATTAAAAAATCTTCTTCTCAAGAACCACTAGGCCAGAGAAAGCTGAAACTTATGTGGAAGCATCCTAAGGTAGTATAGATTCTAAATTTTTCAAATCATGACCCCGGGGATAGGACGTGGCCACAGTAGGAAATCCAAGTTTTATATACAGAAATATATCTTTAAAAATCTTCTTCTCAAGAACCACCAGGCTAGAAAAGCTGAAACTTATGTGGAAGCATACTGGGGTAGTGTAGATTTCTAAATTGTTCAAATCATGACCCCCAAGGGGTTGGGCAAGGCCACAAGAATAAAAGTTTTACATTGAAAAATGTAGGAAAAAACTTTCTAGGTAGAATATAGAAAAAATCTTCTCAAAAACCACTGTGCCAGAAAAGCTGAAACTTATGTGGAAGCATACTGGGGTAGTGTAGATTTCTAAATTGTTCAAATTATGACCCCCAGGGTTAGGGTGGGGCTACAATAGGGAACCCAAGTTTTACATTAAAATTTTGTTTTAAAAAAAAATCTTCTCATCAAGAACTACTTCACCAGAAAAGCTGAAACTTAATGTGAAAGCATCCTTGGGAAGTGTACATTTTAAATTGTTCAAATCATGACCCCCTGGGGTAGGGTGGGGCCACAATTTGGAATCCAAGTTTAACACTGAACTTTGTAGGGAAAATCTTTAAAAATCTGCCGCTCAGGAACTACTGGGCCAGAAAAGCTGAAACTTATGCGAAAGCATCCTGGGATAGTGTAGATTTTAAATTGTCCAAATTATGACGTGTGGGATAGGGTGTGGTCACAATGGGTATTACAAGAGGGGAAATCTGGTAAAGAACAGCAAGGTCAAAGCTACTCAGGTGAGCCATGTGGCCAATGGGCATTTTGTTTTTTTGTTTTTTTAAAAACTGTATGTGTTGCGAAATTGTAACAATGGAGGCCATCTTGAATCAAATATTTATGCTAGCTCTCCCTATGTAGCAGCTAGGTTAGCTCTTCATTCAAGAGCATAGCTTTATATAGTGGAAACGTAGCAGCAATGCTGTTGAATGCACATCAGTTTATATTTCACTGGTGTGTTCAATTTGTTTGTAATATTATGATTATTTTATTGTTGAATTTCAATCTTTTTCTACATTAAATTTTGTTTTTTGTTTACTTTTCTTTTTTTGTAACAGGGAAGAATAGAAGCTGCCAAGAAATTGATTACCCAGCTAAAATCTGACAAACAAATTGGTGGAATTGTAAAAAACATGGAAGTCCTTTGTGATGCTTTCATCCAGTTGGCCAACTTCAATGTGTCACAATACAGTCGTGAGACTAGTGAGTAGTATAGTTTTTAGCTCTTCTGAGCCAAAGGCTCGAAGAGCTAATGCTGTGGCCATTCGTGCAGAGTGCGTAAACTTTTTTGAATATGGACCATAACTCAAGAACCCCTTGGCTAATCATTGTCAAATTTGTCACAGGGTATCCTTGGCGCAAGGGCTACCATTTATTATAAAACTAGGCTTGGGACCCTTAAACAAGGAGGGATAATCAGGAAAATAAAACCAAAAGTACTGGTTCTTAAAAAATCTTCCTTTCCAGAACCACCAGGCAGATTTTCACCAAACTTATATACAAGCATCATGATATGTTGAAGATCAAAATTTGCACGGGATATTACCCTGGGGCAAAGGGCATGGTCTCAAGGTCACTTCAAAGTTTACCTAAATTTACACTTAATAAAAACGTTTATATTTTGCTTATTATTAAGACTAGGATAATTTAATCTTGTAAGTTAATGCATCTTAGGACTTCACATCATGAAAACTTAAAAGTAGGTCATGGTGACCTACTTTTGTGATTTTGCGAGCATTTGTTTTCAAATTGATTTGGAGACATATTTTGGACACAATAAGGCCTATGATCATCAAACTTTGTCAGTTGATGCATCTTGGGTCTTCGAACAATGATAACTCAAAAGTAGGTCACTGTGACCTACTTATTAAGTTTAAGGCTAATCTTAAAACATTAAATCCCATTATTTCAGATACTGAGAGGTTTAGAAACATCAAATCTTATTAGTTGATGTATCTTGGGGCCTCAAAACATATTGATGAAAAAGTAGGTCATGTTGTCACAGTGACCTAATTTTGACATTAAATGGCTATTATTTAAGTATCTCAGGTACTTATTGGCTTAGAATGGTCAAACTTTGTTAGTTGATGCATCTTGGGTTTTCGGTGATTATCGAACAAAAAGTAGGTGACAGTGACCAACTTTTGAATATCTCAGGTACTTATTGGCTTAGGATCATCAAACTTTGTCATTTGATGCATCTTCGGTTTTTGAAGAATGACAACCAAAAAGTAGGTCACGGTGTCCTACTTTTGATATTTTATGGCTATATTTAATTATCTTGGGTACTTATTGGCTTAGAATCGTCAAACTTTGTTAGTTGATGCTTCTTGGGTTTTCGGAGAATATAGACCAAAAAATAGGTCACGGTGACCTTCTTTTGAATATCTAAGGTACTTATTGTCTTAGAATCATCAAACTTTGTCAGTTGATGCTTCTAGGGTCTTTGGATAAGTTGACCAAAATGTAGGTCATGCTGACCTACTTTCGACATTTTATGGCTACATTTTAGTATCTTAGGTACATATTGGCTTAAAATCAACATACTTTGTCAGCTAATGCATCTTAGGTTTTCCAGAATGACGACTGAAAAGTAGGTCACGGTGACCTATTTTTGACATTTTATGGCTATTTTTAAGTATCTCTGGTACTTATTGGCTTAGAGATCATTGAACTTGGTCAGTTGATGCATCTTGGGATTTTTGAGAATGATGACCAAAAAGTTGGTCACGGTGACCTAATTCAGATATTTTATGGCTATATTTAAATGTCTCGGGTACTTATTGGCTTACAATCGTTAAACTTTGTCAGTTGATGCAACTTTGGTTTTTGGAGAATGTCTATCAAAAAGTAGGTCACAGTGACATACTTCTGAATATCTCAAGTACTTATCAGCATGGAATAATCAATCTTTGTCAATTGATGCATCATGAGTCCTCAGAAAATTTCAATCAAAAAGTAGGTCACTGTGACCTACTTACGGTATTTTATAGCTATATTGCAATATTTTCAGTCCTAAGACCTTCTTTTGAATATCTAAGGTACTTATTGGCCAAGAATCATCAATCAGTTGATGCAATTTGGGTCTTAGAATACTCAGAGTTGGAGGCTGAAGGAAAAAAGAGGAGGATGCTAAGATTTGGGGGGGGGTCTGAACCCAACCCCCTTTCCTCTGATTTGCAGAATTATTAAAATGCACTGAAGCAAACAAAAAATGCAAATGTGGCCATAAAGATTTGACTGCTTATTCTTTAAAATGTGTTTATGAAGATTATTTTAATTTAAAATATTTATCACACAATAATAATAGTTTGTACATGTCATAACTTCTTTCATTGTCTCAAGCCATGGTTTGGAGTCCACTTATAGCTTTCTCTCCTACCTGTGGCTGCTTGATCACATAAATAATTAAATAATTGTTATCTTGAATTCTGTAGAAGTACTTTTTTCTGTGTGGTATTAATTTATGCTATGCACGCGGTCACATATTTTCCGCGGAAATTTGTCCAAGCATACTTAATATAAAGGTAAGGCTTATAGTGACAGTCTAAGAAATTCACATAATTTTCTACCTGCAGATTAAACAGAAGTTGAGACTCCGCGGAATTATGACCCTGTGGAAAAAAGTACTTCTACAGTATTTACGAGTGTATGCAGTGTCTGAAACTCAGAAAAAATTTAGGTGGACCATCAGGGCTGACTACTCAAAAAATCTGTCAGCCCTGCTGAAAATTAGCAAGCCCGCATAATAAAATTCAATACTAGGGTATACACACACTCAGACTTGTACATTATTTCACATCCACTTGAATTTCATACACAGTATAATTACAAGGATTAAAATTTTATTCACACAGTCATTGTTTACTTCATTATAAAGTTATAGGAAAAATGAAAATCAGTACACTATAATCACTATTAATTGCTAATCTGAAAGACATGTCCTATGTTGTCGGGCCGGTTTTTTTCTTATAATTTTTTTTACATTTGAAATACATTGAAAGATAGCATAGATACATGAATGGTCATAATGCTATTTAATAATATCAACGTTTATACATGTAGGTATATTCACATGTATATTTTATTTGTTTGATTTTAATTGAAATTGAAAAGAAAAAAATACAATCTTTAATTTTAGTACTTATTAAGAGCAATTTTTAACACTCATTATAATTAATTTATAATAAGAATTTTAAAAGGCTAAAATATTGTGATATGATTTAATATTACTTAAGTTTTTTTTTATTTAACTAAAACAAAAATGAGTTTAAAACAACCATTGAATAAAAGCACAGCATGTTACCCTTAGATGAAAGTTCATATAGTACACTAAGCTTTTCTTATAAATAAACACATTGAATGTGTTTGAATTCTATCTGATCCTTTAAGTTAAAATTATGCACAATTAATATACCAGAGGAAAGTTGAAAATATCGTTTCATGCATGAAAACAGAGGAAATTCAGGTTAAAAGACGATGGTGGTGTTCTTCATATATTTACAGATTTATTGATCAATAATTGTTTATTTGTTTAAAACATTTTCTGCAAAAATGGAAGGGGTGTGGTAAAATTAGTGCGTTCAGGCGGGCTGATGCAAAGTAAAGTTTATACGTCCGCTCTCGATTTAGTGCGTCTCGGGCGTGCGGGCAGACAGGAATTTCGTACACTGGTGTATGCTAGCTAGGACTTCATCTTCAGCCAATGACTATATTTGTTTCCTTCACAATTGAAATCAACAACTGACATCATCAGTAAAGTAAACAAAAATATTTTGTAAACTGCGATTGGGTATTGAAAGGTTACATCAAAGTTCATTTTCTGACTGTGCTTTTCTCACATTGGTCAATATTTTAATGAGCTATGAGCTATGAAATATTTCTCTTCTCATTCAACTACAGCCAAAGTAGGAGAGGTTCGAACATTTTGGCCTTGGTTTTCGACGATGAACTTCTTCATTACGGAGATGCTGTGGAATTGTAGCCCTCTCCAGAAAACATCAAATAAAAAAAAAAATCGGAGAGGCCTACATTATTGCAGCTACACTCTAATGCAAAATCCATTGTGACGTCGCAACTGTGTGATATGAAAACGATATCACATGAGCTATATCAACGGGATAAAGGGTTAAACATGGGATAAATACTTTCATTAATAATTGATTTTTTATGGCGTTGAGCGAAGCTCTTCGTCATCTAGTGATCAGTCAGCTTTACGCGACCAAATGTGTCAGTGGATGCATCCGCAATAGAAAGTAGCAACAGCTGTAAATCAATTTCTTTTAAAATGCTCACAATGAATAATAGCTTGAATATAAAATTAAATCAGTTGTATCTTCAATTAATTCTACTACAAAACAATGATATTATGTTTAATTTTTACGCAAGAAAAACCTTATGGTTGTTGCAGATGAATTTCTACAGAGAGGGTGCATCGAATGACATGAATAACATTTTGGGACTGATTACTTTAATACGAACAACCTTAAAGTTGGTGAAATAATTACAAAATAAACATGAATACTACAAGACTATAAAGATTGAATTTCTTAATCTTAGCTTTACTTTTACAATCTGCAATCCGATTTTATCTGAACAACTGATGATATTGACCAGTCTTACTGTATTTATCCATTTCCTCCATTTGTTTACCGCGCCCTATCGTAAGTCGATCGTACTTGTAACAGTAGAGTCATGGTTGTAGTTTAGATGCAATCACTATACTGCAGAACAACGCTCTGACAATTAGAAAGAATAACATATAAATTTATTAAACTCTTCATTGGTCTTTGATTGACTGAAAAGAAATCAGATTGATATATTGAGCATGAACATTTCTGACGATGTCTGGTCAATTCGAACCCTGCTTCATTCGGACCAGGACATAAGGCCCTATACTGTATTTGTGTTACGACTATTTTTAGCTCTTCTGAGCCAAAGGCTCAAAGAGCTAATGCTATGGCCATTTGCGTGGTGTGCGTCTGGCGGTGTGCGTTAACTTTTTAGAATATGGGCCATAACTCAAGAACCCCTTGGCCAATCATTGTCAAATTTGTTACAGGGTATCCTTGGCCCAAGGGCTACCATTTATACTAAAACTAGGGGTCGGACCCTAAAACAAGAGGAGATAATCAGGAAAATAAAATCAAAAGTACTGGTTGCTAAAAAATCTTCTTTTCCTGTCAGTAGAACCACCAGGCAGA